TCACACTGAAGCATGACTAATGAGTTACAGTTTAATATTTTAACTTTTATGAGCTCAAAAGAATGAGACTGTAATGGTGGAATTATAGAAGAAAAGGAAACTGGATAAGGAGAGATGTGTTTTGAAAAAAATCTCTAAGGTTTCATTTTTTAGACAGTAGTTTTTAGATTCGGATTTGCAAGGCCAACGCTGCAGGTATTATTTCTTTCTCAGTGAGATGGAGGAGCCAACAGTTGGTGTATTGCCCTTGGCCTTAAAATCCAAACAGCTAGGCTTCCCAGAGAAAAAGTTATCTGAAACTAGGAGAATATGCTTTTCCTACCTGGCAATGGCTTTTCTAGGATATAGAACATTATTTTTAAAACAGTGCTTTGATCAATAATGTCATGACTATTATCTACAGGTAAGTAACAAAGAATAAGAATAAAAAATACCAATCTTTAAATGCTATCTAGCTTCTCATTAACCAACAACTTGTTCATTGTTGCTTAAGTGACCCTGATTCATTTCCCGAGTGTGAGCTGAATTAACTCACCCAGGACATGGGATCTGACTCCTGTGGACTCTGTCTGCTTCACGTAGATTGTGCATAGTTGTTTCAGACCAGACTTTTTCCTTGATTCTTATGGGCTTTAGACTCTCTACCTGTTTACCCCTTACCAGGTAAGAAGCTGTTTATCCTTCTAAGATCCCTGCTTTTAGTCTTTGGGTCTACATGTGGAGGTATGAATAGAAAGAAAACAAAATTATACACCAACAGCCTTACGCCGTGGAGATAACTGTTTCTCTTTTAGAAAAATTTCCCCCACCCCCACCCCCGCCTTTTGTCATATTTGAGTTTTTAGAGTGTTCTATCTTCCTGTTGCCAATCCCAACTCAAAATATTAGAAATTAGTTAGAATTTCCAAACATTTTCTTGCTAGATAACAGTATTTAAAGGGGAATATAGTTTTAAAACTGAGAGATAATGTCCTTTGTATCTTTCAAGTCTTTTCATAGATAACTAACCCTGCCTAATTTAAAATAAACTTTGTTATTATAACTGAGGCGTTATTTGGATGGCTAGAGGGACATTCCAGGGGGTATTAACGTGGGAATTCCTTACAGAGGCATGAACCTAAAGTGTTATATTGAAAGAGAGAAATACGGCATAATTCAGTAGAGGGAGACATGAACGTTGAAGCGTGGGAAATGCGTGTTATACCTAAACCTCATGTGTGCTAATACCTAAAGATGAGAGTTGGTGAATCACATACTGAGGATAGAAGACAGGTTCCTCAGCCTTATCTGGGACATGGTAGAAGATAAGGACTTTTGAGGAAAGGAGAACAAATCAGCAAAAGATCTGGAAGTTACGGTTATGAAGTGAAGTTTGCAGAAGTGACTGAAACGTAGAAATGTTTTTCTTGTTAGTTAAGTCTGCATTTCTCAGACTTTCTAACCATTTTTCCCTATGAATATTGGAAAATTTTCTTGTATAAAATCTGAACAAATGATCTGTTTATCCTGCTATTCTTCCTAAATATGATACGTTAGGCATCCCACAACCTTATTTGAGAAATGAATACTATACAGTCAATAATTCAAACCAATTTCCATCCTAAGGAGCCTCTTCTGTAAAAGTGTTAGGGCATTTGCATATTGGCAAATAAATTATTATCGCTTCTGGGAATATGCTAGACTAGGTACCCTGTCTGAGCTTCTTGCTAAAAATAACTAAAAATGTAGATAAAACATATTTTAAAATTGTTTTAATGCATTGATGACCTGGAAAGTTGGTAAGAAATACTCATGGATCAAAAACTAAGTAAAGGCAGGAACTGTGAGGGGTCCGTAGAAGGCTGAAGTCAACTTTCACCTTGAGGGCATCTGAAGCTTCAGTTTCTATGCCTTTGAGAATAAAATCCAGGGCCTGCTCAAGTTGGGGAACATAATAGGAAGCAAAATTTAGGCGTAGTCTGTTTACCCTAGTCTCATCTAAAACGAAAGGAGACAGAAAAATTCAAAGTATCAGGACACAAAAAGATCTATTAAGCAAATATCGGTCAAAAGAAACGAGTGGCATAGCTGTGCAGACATCTGAGGAAACCGTACTTTTCCATGGAAAGTATTACTAGATACCAGACATGAAAATTTGGTACTGACAAATACAGCACGTACGGGTATGAAGAAAGTGAATTAACACTCTCTTTCAGGAAAATAATCTGATGCTGGCTACTAAAATATTAGATTATGTAAAATACACGCTTCAACCCAGCAAATCTTCTTTCATAATCCTTTCCACCTTTTCTTCCTTATGATTTGGAGACATGACTTTGCTGAGATTAATTTTCAGGAAGCAGACAATATAATGAATGATTGATTTAAAATTTGTAAATGTAAAAGTTGTAAACCATTATGTGTTGAAATGGAAAAAGAGTGACACATGGTTAAACGAAGGAAAGAAGGTTAATAATGAATATAAGTACAAGAGTGTTGCAGAATAAAAATGTGGCCATTTCAAACAAATTTGTATTTAGTAGACATTGATGTTCGAGTGGAAAACTAGTTCCATGACTGTTTGGAGGTCCCCCTTGTAGTTTGGGATGGAATAAACCATTCCTTTACTCAAAAGAACAAAAACAAAAATTAAAAAACCCCAGGAACTTCCCTCAGAAAATCAGAATCTCTCATGGTAGTTCTTGGCCAGGCATACTTTTCCGGAACCTCAAATAGACCCAATGACACAGCAAGATATGAAATGCAGAAGTACGTACATGAGGTAGGACAAGAAATTCCTATCATGGTGGTAAACTGGGCTCCTGAGGGCTAAAGCACCCGTTCTGCCCTACACAAAGCCTAAAAAGGGAACAAGCCATGGTTCTGGGCTCCCTTGATCTGGAAGATTTCTCATTCTGAGTGGGCTGCAAAGACCGCAAAATTCTCCCTGGGCCTCTGTGGGGAATCAGGGAGGCATAGAGAAGTTGTGTCTGTTCGCTCCATCATCTATTCATAATCTTATATATAACTTTTTCACAACTTGTTTGTTCATTTAAGGTAAAAGAAAGGAAAAGTAACGTTAGCCAAGTCTTGGTGTTGGGGGTCTGGCATCCACCATAAAAGTTTTGAAATAACACACTAATAAGTACAATACATTTCTTTTGTAAAAACTCTTTATTCATTAAGACATTATTAGCACAGTAATTCATTAAGACATTATTAGCACAGTAATTATCATGTTAATTCACATGAAATTATAAAATTGCTACTTTCTGGACTCAGGTTTTAAGAATCTGGGAAATTACAAATGTATTTAAATAAGGAACTAAAAGGAAAAGAATTAAATCTTGGAAATTTATGGTATATAAGTTACTACACAAAAGAAAGAACTTTACTTATTTATGGAAATGTTGATGGCATAGTTCTACTGAAACTTATAGACATTTTATTGCTTAATTTATATATTATCTTGGTGGAAAAAAATAGTATTCTTTACTCTTTCAGTTTCCTTATAATAAAGTACATAATTCTAGAGGGATATCACATAGGTGTTATACAGACCTTGGTAGGACCATGACCAGGTCAAATCTAGAGTCAAATATGATTCAAAGACTCCAAGAAATGATTTGAAAGTAAACTTGACAAAACGTGTATTGGGTCATGCCCATGGTCCATCCTAAATGTATCCTGTTTCTGACAGTGGCACCAAAGAAAGGTCTATAAACCTTCCTGATATCACTGCAAAATGGATTGGGTAACTAGATGTCCCCAGCTTCCCTTAATAACCCAGATAAGTCAGTTGCCTGTGTATTGATTCAAATCTTTCCAGAACTTTATACTTTCATAGTGATTCGTATGTGGGATCACAAATTTATTAAACTTACTACCTGTATTTAGAATGGTGGTGTCTTTATTTATTCCAAAGACCTTATTCAAACAATTAAGAGAAGCATCTAGAAAAGCATTTCAGAGATCAAGAGTTTTCCTTAAAATATGAAAAAATGCTAAACCTGGGGTTACAAAATATGATAATGCACTTAAATATTTACATTAAACCATGATTTAACCTAAAATATACACAATATGATCTAATTCTGCATCTTTCAAAAGATTTACTAAAAATGAAATAGTGCAGGGGCCGGCCCAGTGGCGCAACGGTTAAGTTTGCACGTTCTGCTTCGGCAGCCCAGGGTTCACCGGTTCAGATCCCAGGTGGGGACCTACGCACCACTCATCAAACCATGCTGTGGCAGGTGTCCCACGTATAAAGTAGAGGAAGATGGACACGGATGTTAGCTCAGGGCCAGTCTTCCTCAGCAAAAAGAGAAGGATTGGTGGCAGATGTTAGCTCAGGGCTAATCTTCCTCAAAAAAAAAAAGAAAAAGGCAATAGGGTATGGATTAAAGTAGTGTGATATTTCCTTTCTCTCCTGTATCTCTGTGACTGCAGACTTTACTCAGTTGGAGATGACCACAAACAGGTATCCTTGACACTCTTCATGAATGTGAGGGTCAGGCCAAGAGGCCCTCCTAGCTTCCTTGATAAACTGACATCTAATTTCTAATAATATGACATTTGGTCACAAAGTCTTTGTTTTCCTAATCCTATGCTTCATAATTTGTATCAGACTTTCCACGAATGGTAAAAATTAAATTATTCAGGCTGAGTTGGAGGGGGAGAGCGAGGAGATGGAAAGATGCAAAGGAAAGATAGATTTTTTTTATGGAATGGCTATTTTTCCTCAGAGGTAAAACTGGTTGGGCAAACTCCAGGATCCTAAGCAAGGTTAAAAAAGCATCAAAGAAGCAAGATAGTGGCATAATGCAAGGCAATGCAGATAGTCTGCTGCAGCTAAACTGTTACAGCTATATCTATATCTCTCTCTCCACATGTCTCTATTGTTTAGGAAGTTTACTTTTTTTTCCTTTTTCTCCCCAAAGCCCTCTGGTACATAGTTGTGTATTTTTAGTTGTGGGTCCTTCTAGTTGTGGCATGTGGGATGCTGCCTCAGCATGGCTTGATGAACGGTGCCATGTCGGCGCCCAGGATCCGAACAAGCAAAACCCTGGGCCTCCGAAGCAGAGTACGCGAACTCAACCACTGGGCCACCGGGCCAGCCCCAGAAGTTTACTTTTAAATAGGCTACTGAACTGGGCTTCCCCCACCCCCGACATCAGACATCTGTTAGCTAGAGAGAGAGCTGAGAGAAGGCAGCTGGGCAGGCTGAACTCTGACTTGAGCTTTGCCGACTTCACGCACACATCGCCACATCTGATGTGCTCTTTCTATAGACCATTTAAATACTAGCCAGTAGCCAAGTCCTCAGGGTGGGAAGATTCTTCTCCAGCCACTTAATATTTTTGGATATGGTTTCCAGAACAATTTGAAAAACATCCAGATGTGATCCTTGGGCCTTAAGAAATTCAAAGAAAAGTTTCACCTGAAAAATAAGCAAGAAAAGAATTACTGACATGGTTCATAGAACACTTTCTCTTCAAAAGGGTTTCAAAACAGCTTGCAAATTATACAAACACAGGTGCAAGCATTTCTCTGCCAACCTCTAACAGGTTATTTTCGTCTTCTTTTCTTTTTTTTGCATAATTATTTCACTTTATCTTCAAACAATGGAGAAGTAAGACAGGAATGATAAATCGTCATCTTACAAGTGAGCACACTGCGAGTAAAGAAGTTAAGTGACTTAGTCAAGTCAGAGAGTAAGTAGTGAGCTGGGATTCAAGTTCTAGAATTCTGAATTTACTTAAAGGATAAATAAATTTGAGATTTATTGTGGAAAGAAGTTGTAAAACACTAGAATGCCTCAGAAAAACAAGACAACAAGAATTACCAACAATACTAGTTTTGTTAAAAAAACCTTTAAGTACTCTTCCAAACTTCTGTGTAACCACTCTTGCGCGATGATGCTATATGAATGAAATAATACAAAAGGACTCATCTCTCAAGGATGATTTACATTTTGAATGCTACAAAAAATGTATTTTAAGAGTCAGGTTCTAGTCCTGTCCATTCCGTTTACTTGCTATGTGACATTGGACAAACAATTTCTTTTCTTTTAATAAAATGAGAACTTCAAACCAGATTGCACCTGAGTTTACATTCAATCCTGCAATTTGAACATTTATTTTTAAATTGTTACCAACATAAAGTCACAAACCTCTTGCAACTCATCCTTGGAAGAAAAGTGAGCTGTTGTGCCAGAGATGATCATTCTCATGGGAAATGAGCCCAAGCCAAATCTGAAAATAAAAAGGAACCCCACAGGTTTAGGTAATAGAAATTCTGCGCTTACATTCATTACATCATATACCATTTTTAAAATATATAATTTAATAACTATATGATAAGCTTGTGCATTATAATAGATATTATTAATTACCAAAAGAATAACTCTTATATTCATCCAGTACAATCCCAAAGCTATAAAATTTATCAAATTTGACCATTAAATAAAAAGGTAGATAAAGCTTTCTTAGAAAATATGTCTAGCTTATTCAGCAATGTTTATGCTTAAATTTATGTTTATGCTTAAAGCAGCATTCTCTACATTGTTTTATTATATACTCCATCAGTAAAGATTTTTTGAGCAAGAACTTCCCAATATACGTATTTCTATTTATGAATTATAAGCATGTATTATGTTACAGGTAAAAAAGAAAATTTAATAGCCTAAGTTAGGGAATAATATATGTGGTATTACTTTTCTCTTGCACACTAATGTATTGTCTTGCACACTTTCCCATCCCATTTTGGACACCACTGTGTTAAAGCATTGTATTTATTGGGGCAATATTACTTAGTTGACCTCTCTTTCATAGCCAGAGACTGCGTCTTTCACCCCAGCGTTTTATAGAGAGAATTTGTACCGTAAGTCAAAGGGATTCATGCTGAAAAAACACAGCACAGATACATCTCAGAAGATGGGTCCGCGTCTAAGCTCTGCGCTCGGTCAGGCATGAGGACAGTTCCCAGTTACAAAGGAAAACTACAGCATTGCAGAAAAAGTCTAATCATTACAGGAGGGAACTCATGCAAACAACAAAACCAATGGTTCCAGTTAGGGTCTTTAGGGAAACTTTTTTTTTAAAGCTGTTTCTAACTATTCCGTCTCATGTAAATGTCAACTCCTTGGAGGTCCAGGAGAGGGGTGGAAATGTGCTTTTTGTTTACACAAAAGCTGTGTGTGGGGACTCTGAATGCTTTATGGCTAAGAAATGAGAGGGAAGAGGACCTGGGGATGACTGACCTCAGATATGCTGCATAGAGCTAAGGCGAACAGAGCAATTGCACAGCTCTCGGATTCGGGATATTTTCCATATAGTCATAAGGGACGTTTTGGATTTGGATGAGGAATGGCTGGGCACCTTAGCAGGGGTTTGTTGTGAGACAAAGCAATGCCATCCTGTACATTATTGGGTTTTTTTCCTGGGATATTTTAGGCCCAGAAGCATACTGGAGTTAGCTTTGGTCCCCCGCAAAGTGGAAATGCAGAAAAGATTCAGAACCAATCCAGTTTTGGAGGGGGGCTCCCAAAACACTTCTGATCGGGTTTCTTTCAGCTACCCCAAGGTCTCCACGGTGCCACCTTCACAGGGGAATTGGGGGTGGGGATTAGCTCTCATCAAAATTCCTGAAGTTTTTCCCCCAGAACAAAACTACATTAACATAGCAAGCCAAATATGTCTGATGCACTATATGTGGCTTCATTGGATTCTTCTGGGCTGGGGAGAGAACCAGGAGGGGAGAGGGTGATGGGGCTGATGACCTGATTTAACTTAAATCCTACTTGCTCCCGGCAATTCTTCTTTGCCTGGGCTGAATAAAAGAAATGTTTCCCATTCCTTTTTTCTCATTCCTCTCCTTTACACCTGGACAGGGTAATCTGGGCTAGTGAGTTTCAAAACCGATTCTTCCTTGAGCCATTTGAGTAAAAATGGTATCATTTATATGCTTTGGAGAACACTTGATTACACTTGGCTTTAGGCAACTGAGACATCTGGGTGAAAGAACACACATTAGATGTAAGTGAATACCAACTTTTTTAGGAGTTCGGTCCAGTTTTCTCTTACAAAATTCCAGGCTAATTGCTGCCCCTCTGGATTTCTGGCAATTGCATGAAGAAGAGCTGCCAAGTCCTGTGTCTTGATAACCTTTCCTTCCATTCCTAGTTCAATCAGTCTGAAGAAATAAACACCAGTTGATGATTCATTGTATGTATTTTGTAATGGAAATTAACTCATGCTACCAATATATTAAAAGAATAGGAGAGAAAGCGGCATGATAAAAGTATAATTTACCAAAAACAGTAATTTTGTACCGGCTAACATTTTTAACATTCTGGTTAAACTTTTACTTTTTTCTAGCAGTAATTTTATTCCCAAATTAATTAAAGAACTTTGATTAGCATCTTATATACAAGAATGTATTTTTGTAATAATTTTCCTCCAAGGTTCTGAAAGTAAAACATAGACATCTATCTAGTCTCAATCACATGATTAATTACTAGGGAATGTCTGTTTTCATTACTTGCATTTTGTCAATAGATTTTTCTTAGAAATAATGTCACAGCAATACAGATCCTGATTCAATTATTTTATGCCTTTGCGATTGGTGGCTGAAATTTTTGTGAAGTCACTGAATTTGTGTCAGTTTACTTTTAACAATTTAGTTAAATTCATGCACTTACTTCATTAACTTTTCCTCATGTTTGCTGGTTGACAATGCATACAGAATTTTGTTTTTTTCAGCACCTGACACTGACAGTTCATATTGCTTTAAAAGGTAATTCCATCCTGCTGTTGTCTGAGCACCCACCGAATAAACGATCTTTAAAACATCTGTTGGGATACTGTAATATTAAGCACAAAAGTGAAGATGAAAGTTCTATGAAAAAAACTTTTTTTCTTATTACAATTTTAAATTGCTATAAGAGAATTACCCCTGAGTTATTTCCACTATCTAGCATATTCAACCTTTTTCTTTGCCAAACTTTTATAAAAATGTTTTATGTAATTTTACTTTGCAAATTATTTGTGCGTTTTTTCTACTGATATTAGCAAGAAGAATAATCAGAAAATTTAACCTACTCAGAGAGGAAAATAGAAAGTTGATAGAATCAATAAATAAAAGAGAGGATTTTTGAACTATAAAGACACTAGTTTATACAGAATTCTATCATTAAATAATTTGTATTGGTGCTATATGATTTCTTTTTTAAAAAAGATGGCTACCTCCTGCTTTAATGTCACATTAAGAGTATTTTTTAACTGGCCTCTCTGAGGGTCATCTGACTTTCCAAGTGTAGAGAATTGTAATTAGAGTTTAGTCATTTTACAATTCTGCAAAACTGGTAAGATGCAATAATATTTTCTGTCCACCTAAAGAAGACACCACCGTTTTTGTTTTCTATTGCCCTGTAAGATATTAACTAGTTTTCATTCTAACTTGGTCTATGATTTTTAATCCCAAATATCATTAGATCAATGATAAAAGATATTCATTTTGATGACTTGGAAAAACCAAAGCACAGAGAAGTGAATTTGGGGCAGAAATCATGCAGTGACCTTATGGCAGGGATTGCACTAGTCTCTGTACATCTTATTTAACTGTCAAAGCTGCTCAGTGAGATAGTTATTATCCTAATTTTTAAAAAGTGGAAATAAAGCTCGGAAGGGTTATGTAACTTGTACCAAGGTGACAAGACATTTCGGAGATGGGATTCAAACCTATGATTCTAATGCTTGTGCTGTTTTACTGCACAAAGTTATGAAGATTGGTTAACAAGTACATTGTAAGTTCCTTGAAGGTAGGAAACATAGTTGTTTGTTCATCACTTTATCCTGACCACCTACAGCAGTGCCCGGCGCATAGGCGACATGCAAAGAATTATATTTTGAATTCATGAATGAATGAAGTAATCAATTAATCCATGTAATGAAATGCTTGATTACGATTAATACTAGTGGTCCTGAAGTTTAGGAAAAAACCCTACAATATTTAATTATGTATTCTTGATTACAAGCATAAGCGAGCTTTACCCAGAATATTTTCATAGGCATGGCACCCTATTCAACATGTTGAACTATCTTATCTATTGTACACGGGTTACTGCGGGTAAGATCATCCCTCTTGTAACTAGCATCAAGACAGAACGCTATTCCATTGTGTGATAGGGAAGCAGGATGTTTACATTCTAGCCTCACTCATACAACCCATTCAAACCTGAACAAAAAGCTGAGAAAAATAGAGCTAAAAGATATTTTTTTCTAAAACTGATTCAGGCTTAAATCCCAAAGAGCAGAAAGGTCCAAAAAGAAGAAAACTAGAATTACCTTTTTTAAAAGCAAGAATTCAAAAGAAGATTTCAGAAAGCTCACTGAGATTTAGTTGTGTGGAGAGAAATTATGATAGCATAATTTGGCACAGGAAAAATTGACACTATATTATATTACATTACAAAAATTACATTACTTCGTACTAAAGTTGTGAATTTTTTCTTCTATTTTAAAAAATGAATTTTCCTTAATTCACATAGAGATTTGATTTCTCGACACATCCAACTCTAGAGTCAGAGTTTTAACAGTAACAATATAAAATCACATGTTAGAAATCAAGGCTTACATTAAAAGGACCATGGGGTCTGTTAGTACCTATGGTTGCAGCTGCTAAGCTGAATTTCTACATAATCCATTTAATCACTAGGCATCTTCCTGATTATAATAGGCACTAGAATCAATTTAACCACCGTATACATCCTTTAGGTGGTCCAAATCATCAGTTTCACATCAAAGGTGAAACACGGGGCCTAGGCTTGGTCTGTGGTATTGATTAATAAGGAAGAAAACACATTGGGAAAAAAAAGCACCCTCCTTTTTTTTGACACAAGTTTCACCAAATGATCACTGGTGTTTTCATTGTATGTACATTTCCTATTGCTTTTTATCTTTAAAGGCATCACTTTTGGAGATTGGGTGCCCTCCTGCTTCCACCTCCTGGCTATCTTTCTGTTGCCATGCCAATGTTTCTTAGCTGTCCCCTACAGGGACCTAAACCTCACTTCCCACAAAATCTATTGAGCACTTACTATGAGGAGGCATGAAACAAGGGCATCTAATTCCCAGCATGATTTTTTTTCTCTATTCTTACTAAAAGGTTTTAGATCTAATGTCTCGCATGATCAAAGACTTTTACATCAAAGTGAAAGGAACAAAGAATAGGACAGAAGTCAAGGTTTACTTTAATTTTCCACCAGATTCCATCCACTGAGAGAAGAGTTGAGTTGCCTTCCTGATGCAAGGAGCGTGGTTCAGGTAACAGGCCAGCTTCAAGAGAACTGAGCGAAGCATCCTGTCCCAGACAGAGCCCTCGTCGCTCCAGCTTTGTGTGTCAATCACTGGCTTAAAATATCGGAGAAAGTAATGCTGCAGAAAGCACAGGATGGTTTACAGAGAGGCTAAATTTAGTTCTTAACAGTTCTCATTCACCCATCTAAAGGGCTCAACTCTAAGGTGTCTGCATGAACCTTTCCCAAAACACAGAACTACTTATCTTTATATTTCTTTTCTCTTTTTCTGGCCTCCACCTACCATGCTTAAGAAACAGAGTTAGATTCTCCAGTAAAAATATGATTTAATTTCCTATCTGAGAGGGGAATATCAATTGATGTAACATAAAATCATCTTAAGAGGGATGTTTTACTCATGATCCTGGTACTTAGCTCTTAGAATGGTGATGACAAGGAACGAGGGGCATCCAACCACTAGATGCTGTGCTGTTGACTGTATGATCAGCCAGTTTCCTCAACTTCTAGAAGATTTAACCCCAAGAGTTCACACAAAACCTAAGTCTCACTGATTATCCAGACACTGTATTTACTTGACGAATTTTCCGAAAGTGATTCAAACCTTGAGATTTTCAGTGACATCTGAAATATTCCTTCTGTCCATCATGTGGTAAAATGTTTCTAAATATTCCAGGCCTTTGAGAAGTGCAGGAATGTTTGTCTCATGTTGAAGATAGCGAGTCAAGTCAAGGGCTTTGTCTAGGGTCAACCTTCCTGCGCTGCGGTATAAAACAAATGTCAGTGGTTTGCGCATATCTTTCCATTCTTAATATTAAAACAAATACAATACAGAACACAACAAAAGGAGTAGTTCATTATAGCCAGACCATTTGACTTAAGTCCTAGCTCTGCCACTGGCTAGCTGCGTGATCTTGGGCAAATTACCTAATCTCTCTGGGCCTCAGTTGCCTCCCCTATACAGTGGGGAAAATAATAGTATCTTCTTCTGTTGTTGAAAGGATTAAATGAGTTAATATATGTAAAACACTTAGAATAGTGGCTAGCACACAGTAAGAGCTTTGTAAATAAAATATTAGCTAATATTAGTATTTAATACCAAATAAGATCAATGTTTTTATATATTGTCATTCTCTAATTGTTTAACTTGCGGCTTTGAATTGTTCCTCCAAGTGAATTTGGAACTGTGAGGACAGGTGCCACGTCTTTTTTTGATGTCCCTTCTAGAGCCTAACAGAGAAGCAGCAATTATCGTCAGTGGGACAAAACAAGTATTTCTATCTTTTTTTTAGATCCTAAAGTTATATGCCTTCTCTATATTTTCTTTTAATAAGAAAAACATACCCAACAAAACTATTATTCTGAAGACCAAAATGTTATGGTCTCTTCTGCAGAGGAAATAAACCATTATATTGTCACCTTCGTAAAGTAGTTCTGGCACGTGTTTCTGAGAGGATCTGTGTCCCCCTAGAGTCTATTAGCCATTTTTGCCAGCATCTGACTTCCAGATTAAGCACAATAGTCTGATATGGAAACAGATTCCAGAACAAGGGATATCTTTGGTGAATTTTTCATTAACAAAATGCCTTACCTCCTTCGGGTTTTTCAAATTTTAAATTCCTATGTAAAACCAGGGAACTGAAACTGGAAAGAAGTGAAATCTAAAAAACCAACTTCTGTTGTGACTTTACTCTTTTCAATCACAATGACATGCTACTTTAAAACAGACTTATGGAAAATTTTCCAAAACTTCCATCTGAAGACAGAGGGCTAGACCATATGCTCTATGATTCTATGATCTGCTGTATTTTTTAAAACACAAATCCACAAAATGTCACTCTTCCTTCCCACATGTGTTGGTATCATAATATTCAGTACAGTTGATAGCTTGAAGGAGCAGCAACAGGAAGAAACTAGATATTATGTTCTAGGGCCACAATTTCAAAAAGAATGTTTGACACATAAACATTACTTTATCTTAACCCTGTTTTTCTTTTTGGCCCAGCCTAATTTATTTCTTACTACAACAAATGCTGCTATTAGAAACCTTTACTTTTATATTTCCCTACTTTAAAAGAATTTAATCTTAATATTCATTTAAAAGGGACTCTTTTTATTTTTGTATGGTTATTAATTGTTTAACAAAAATCCAGCTCCTCACCACTTGCTCTCTGTTTCAATCAGTGCACAAAATTTTCTCTGAATGTTTGTTTACCTTAAAGCCCAAACACATATATAAGCATACATGTCAGCCCAACAGGAAAAAATCTGTATCTGCTTATTTATATGCAGTTTCAGCTAAATGGTACCTTTGTGAAATAAAACTATATTCCTGCAGAACCAATTTGGAGCTTCTTTTGAAGGTATAGGACTAAAAGAAACTAGCAGTTTTTCTGTAAGGAAATTAAAGCTGTCATTTTAATTCCACTCAACTCAGATGAGATCTAAGGTTTAAATTATATTTATTAAGTATGAAAATCCAATCAAAGATCCATTTCTGGGTCAAATTTTTTCTCCAAACTAAATGTGATCACTGATTACTTCCTTTAACTCTTAAATAGATATTGCATAAAGCAGGGAAGGAAGAGATATACATTACCAAGGGAGAGTAGCAAGGAAAAATATTTAGACCCATTATGAGTGTTTTAAATTATTTCCTTATGCAATTACTTGTATTATAAAAGTAATATAAACAAGTTACAAAACATTTGGACGATAGAGAAGAGAGGAAAAAAGACATAATTTCAGTACCCTACACATTCACTAATAGCACTTTGGAATATTTCCTTGGGTGCCCCCCCCCAACAGTTAGCTCATTTTTTCCTATGTAGTTGCAAGCATAACAACACACAAACCTACGTTCTGCTTTTTTCCAATTTCAATTATTTGAAATGCATTTTTATATGTCACATCATGTTCCTACTCAACACATGATCTTTTAAACAATTTATACTACATAATACTAATAATGTGAACAGCTGACTATTGAGCATGTTCTATGCTTAGCACTTTATCTGCTTATCTTACGTAATCCTCAAAACAACCCCGTATGATAGACATTATTTAAAACTGGAGTTTTAAAGACTAGAAAACTTAGGCTTGAAAAGGTTAAGTAACTTGCCCAAGGTCAAATAATGTGAAGAAGTAGTATTTGAATTCACCTGTTTTAACCCAATATTTGTACTCTTAATGAACTTCATTAAACGTTCCACCCAGTGAAGAAAAGATTATTGTTTTTCCACTGATGCGTCAATAACTGCAGGGTTTCTTTTGCTAAATTTAGACTACTCATAAATTTATAGGCTAGAAACAGCAAAAAAGACTTTACAACTGCTTGAAAGATTGGTTTTCATTTGCTGAGTTGTCAATATTCTTCATTCTTCATAGTCTTAAATTTTTAATCTATTTTCTCTGCAATCTGCCCAGAATTTGTTCTTTGAGCAGACAAATCCCCTTCGACTAACAATAGCCTAATTCTCAGCTAGTCTGTCATACATCCACTCAGATGTGGGATGGTGTTTTTCCTAGTCCTCCAATGCGCTATGCTACCATGATGCTCCTGAGACCTATGGGTCTGAGGATTAAACTCTCAATCCTCTTCCATTCCTAACTAGGGAATTCTGTCGTACAAAGAAGCTTTCCCTGAGAGATATCCTGCTGGTTACTTTCTCTCAATCTGACCTAAAAAAGCATCTGAAAGGAAATAATATGTCACACTGAATAAAGTGAGTACATTACAGTAATTCTCAGAATAGGAAAAGCTTACAATGCATAATAGTCCACCTGATCCTCAATTTTTTTCCATTGGCACTCCTGTGACCTGATTTATTGTACATATTGTTCTGTGCATGATAAATGTGAAAGGAAAGAAAACATTTGTCTTTCCAGGAAAGTCTAAAAAAGAATAAACATAAGCAGCTAATTCTTCATTTCCCTACCAATTTCATATTGATTTCTCTAACGTGAGCAAAGTAATGAATGGATTATGCCCTAGGCTAACAATTCATTTAAAATTGTAAAGGTTAAGATTATATTTGTTCTTTTTGTTCAGCAGATTACATAGGTATTTGGTGAAACAGCAAGCTGCTAGCATAAACAAATTTTAAATCTGGGGTCAAAAGCTTAAATGCTGAAAGGCTCCACTCTAAGTGAGTGAAGCGGGCTGCTCACATGTACTGTTTGGGACTCTGGTACATGGGAGAGTGCAGGCCTGGCCTAAAGAAAGATCTGCCCACTGTAGTCTCCTCTATGGCTACCTTGTGGCAATGAAGGCCCACGGTTGCCAAATCTCATTTTTAAAGAGACTCCAGAAGTCAGGATTTTTATATAAATTCTCCCCATTTTAAAATGTTGGATTAAATTTTTGAACACTGTATGGGTCAACATACCTTATCAGTGGGTAGGTTTTGGCCTAGTGGCCAGTGCTTGACCTCCATTCAGATCTATATCCTATGAATGATCAACACTGAACATTTGATTTTGAAACAAGAAAGTCTGGTTATGGATCAGTTATTTCCTGTGAAATCAGATGAAATTTTGCATTACCTTACTAGCTGAAATGCATCATGAATCAGACCTATTCTGTCCTTAGGTCTGAGAAGTGTGTGGTTCTGATTCAGCTGTGTAATGAGTTGGTCCCATCCATGTCCCTCATAGTGAACGATGTAGTAGCCATTTGAGTCCACATTGAATTTCACCCAACTGGTCTTTTCAGGTAAATCCAGAGTATCTAAGAGGAGGAAATTGGCATGGGCATTTCATTATCAACATACATACCAGGAACGTCTCCAAAATTCTTAGTTTCCATACTATTATTAATAAATCCATGGGAAGACAAAATTTTGGAAGAATCATGATGATAGTCATTTTCAGTCCACTGGATGGTTTCTTTTGGGAATGACGTCTCATTAAATTAATAAATAAATAAATTAACATGAAAAGAACTGCTAAATTTGTTTTCAAAAACAGTCTATGCAGGTCTAAGAGGCATGCAGAGGCCTACTGAGCCAGATGATGAGCATGACTGGTATTTGGCTTGGTTTACTGGTAGCTGTGTCTCAAGGTTTAGTTACTGGTCATTGAAATATGCATATGTAAATAGGTGATCCATTTGTCCAGTCCTTATTTTGGGTGAAATAAGGACTCCAGGTTGAATATACATTATGATGGAAACACCCTCAAATTTCAGTGAAGTGTTTAAAGGAGAAATTAAAATTACATTATGTATTTTTTAATATAACAGACATTATATAGTGGTAAAATAACATTATCGTATTCTCTCAATAACTCTGGTAGGCCATTCAAAATAAGATGGGAAAGCTCAGAAAGAGTTAAGAAATTTTCTTAAATACACGCATTTAATAGACGACAGAGTGAGGATTTGAATCCAGGGCTAATCGATTCCAAAGTGTATGCTTTTTCCACTATACATTTTTGCCTTGTGGCTTAAGAGCTGGATTAATAGGTATTAAAAGACACAATAGGATGCCATCCTTTCTCGATATAAATAAAACCTATCTCTAAATGCTAAAAGCACACGAGCACTTCCCACTGAATGAAAAATTCAGCCTTTCTAGCTACAAGATACTTTTGGTAACTAATAGATGGATAAATGAGAACTTTCCCAAATATAAATCTTCTATTATTACCTTCAATTACAGTACCTTTCCTCCAAATAGCTCAGAAGATGTTTAATTTCAGAACTAAAACATCATTTGGCTAATTAGTTCCTTACCTGTCTTTGATTTTAGGATGTGTCTGTGAATTGCATCAGAGGAACTCGTGGAGTAGGTCAGTGGGATATGCCAAAGGTACCTATGTGAGAAAATAAAGACCGTTACAGATGAAATGAATGGCCGTTTCAATTTTCACATTTTCAGACTCAGATAGGCTATAAAAGGCACCTAATCACCCATCCTTCACACTGTCAGTGGCCTTAGAAGTTTTATAGGCTAAGACTCACAGATCCTTGGGTATGCAAAAGTCCTTCCATGATGATTATGAAGTTGCAGCAATATATACCCAGTCGAACTCTGTCACAACTACCTATGCCATTTGCTATCCAAATCTCATACCATGACATGTTCTGATGCTTGCTTTCTTCTAAGAGAAAAAAATGCAATCATCCTTTCATATTTCCAAAAACTCTGACAGCCTGATGTTAATTCAAATAACTGAACCAAAGCTGTAGGAAAAGCCTTAAGAGATAAAGATCTTATTTGGTATGATTTTCCACTTATCCTTTTGTTCAACAAAGCTACCCATATCCAACCCCCAACTGCTAAGTGACTGCGAGTAAGTGGTCAGCAATGCTACAGTCTAGGGCCTGCAGGTTGGCCAAGTTCAGGAAACAGAAAAGCAGAGTGGATTGGAAGAAAAGGCTTCAGCTACTTTTCAAAGGACTTATTGTGGGAAATAACAGAAATTGGCTATTTTTCCTGGCTAACTTTCTAGCAGCTTCTAGAATTCATTTCCTCTATCACATCAAGCCATGTTAGCTATAGTAATCCTGCATAGGTCAAATCATATGCTTGAAAATACCAACAGGTGTAAAACAGAAAGCAGAGTAACTGAGGATGTACCCGTTAGTCCTCAGAAAAATATAAAACAATGAAAGAAACAACATACACAGACTCCATCTAGTAAAGGGTCAGAAGGGATAATCTACCTGCTAACCCACAAAATACAGATAATTAACAAAGCAACTGAAATATTTACATAAAAGTAAAAGTAGACACATAGTGCCAAGACTTAATGGACTGAGACTCCTGGATGGACTTTGGCTCTAGAAAGAAAGGGATTCTTCCAGATAAACATATCTGGCAGAAGACAGAGGGAAAGTAGCATTTCATGAGTTTGGATAGGCATGAAGCAGAGGGCAGTGATTTTACAATAGTAATCTAAATACTGCCTCAGATAGAGGAAAAATACAGATCATCATAGCAGATATTTATTATTCTGGGCCATCCAGACCATTGAGCTCTCTTGTGACATTTTGAGAAGTTACAAAATTATGAGTCCTACTTTCTCAATGATGAATCGAATGTTAAATTTTCCAGGCTGTGTTGTCAAGCTACAAATCATCGAAACTCTCTGAGGTTCAGACTTTAGAAGGACATACAGAAAAATGGAAGGATGTATACGTAGAGATGTGGTGTATGAGCTGCTGCTGGATTGGAGATAGGCAACTGATGAAACGAAAAGGGGAAAACAGTATATTCTAGGTGTTAAAGACCTTGAATGTGTTTCTAATTGTTAGAAAAGTTCCAGAATTGTTATTAGACAGCTAGTTCCTTAGAAAAAGAAATAATAATCATAACAGTCAACACAGATTCACTTGTATTATTTCATTTTAAATTAACCTCATTCATCTTATTGATAGGGCTAATAGATCAGAGAAATGTGGACAGTGTTCCTTGATTTCAGCAAAGCCTTTAACAAGTTTCTTCAGGATAGGCTGCTGAACAAGATGACAGAGTGGTGAATTGGATTTGCTTTCATAATTCCAAGAACATCATATGTTTTAAGACACGACATTTATAGTGTATTACTGAAAAACAAAAGGGAACAGGAAGTTTTGGCATCTAATTTATCACATGGAAATGTCTTTTCTCATCTGATAAGATGCATAGTTGTCATAGCCCTTCCTAGGTAAGGGCCAGTCACACAATTTATTAGTGCTCAGAAATCCAGGATTGAAAAGAGTCAGGGTATTTTATAATAGAAATATAATTGACCACCCTCTGCATCAGAACTGAGGTTCTAAAGTTGGCCATGGAATTTCTAAGAACACAGCTGCTGAACACCGCAGTCTGGGCCCCCTGAAGCTCTTTAAATCTGTATCAAGGCTAGATTAGGCCTTTGATTCTCGTGTAGAAATAGCATCCCACAAAGTTGCCAGAGACGCTGAAAGAAAGCCAATGAAATAATGAGCAAACTCAGATAAGAAGCCCAACAGAAGCAAAGCAACCACCTTTCCTGCAGGGCCCTCCACTCAGGGTCCTCTTTGAAAACCCCACTCAGGAAGCGCTCCTGCTGCAGTCTGAGAGAACGCCCTTCTTGTTTAACCACCACGAGAGGGATTCCTTTCTGCAGAGTCCATGTAGTCATCATCTCTTTGACCTCCATGTTTTCCTCTAGAAAGGCGAGCTGAAATGACAAGTGGTAACTCAAGACAGAGAAGAGAAACTGAAGAGAGATCAGAAACTTTGACCTCCCTGGGTGCCAGAAACTGGGCTTGGGGAGGGAGAGGGGAGGACTCAGGCAGAGCTATGTGGGAACTGTTCTGGGGCTGCCCACCCAGGGCTGCGCTCTGCAAGTCACCTGAATGAAGGAGGGAGATATGTGGGAGGCTGAGGGTTAACACAGGGCAGGAAAAGCCAAGAGGAAGGGCTTGAGACTGGAACCTCCCTCCTGCTCTCTTTAGAAGTAAAAAATATCTCTCCATTTTAATAATGGTGGAATCCAGACTGAGGCTTAGAAGGCAAATGTCTGTCTTTAGAGAAGCTTTAATATTCCAAAGGAACAGGTTCTATCAATGGAGATATATTGAATGGAGAACAAAACCTTTAGTTTCCCAGCTTCTAGTATAGGTTTCTGATCACTGGATGATGCTGAATCTTCCTTTAGAAACCATAACTTATGGGATTACTATGTCTCTTTTAAAAAAAAGTTTGCCTTTTCTTCATGATGACTTTCTTTTCTCCTAAAGTACTTCAGCCATTTCCTAGAAGTAAATAAAAAGACGGGACCTCAAGAAAGCCATGCATTCTATTTCCAAACTAACAACATATTTGGTCTGGCATTTTTCAGAGCCTAGAGGATGCCAATGCAGCAGTAACCACTCAAAAGAATTTTGAGCTGAGATATTTTTAGCTGGCAGTAGGGTTGTGGGAAAGCTGAATGACAACAACAAAAATATACTAGTAGCAGCGTCATCCCCCTAAATGGCCTGAACATTCCTTCTTGAGTCAGCTTTTTTTCAAGGAGAATTGTGGAGTCTCTCTTCCTCTCCAGTTATTTAAAGGGACAGCCGGGCTAGTCTACGTGCCATACTCACTCTGGGTGAGGTGATGTGCCAGATCTCTTCTAGTCTATAAGTGTCTATACTTACTGTGTTGCTTGTTGTCTTGGAATCAGAATAACAAAATCCACCAGATGTAAAATCACCTTCTAAACAACTCTGTAAAACAAGAATAAAACAGCACTATTATTTAAGCACTGATAGTTGGCTGAATATGCATATTAGACATGAATGCAGACATTTATTAGCATAGCTATATGGAAATTTAATTCATCTAGACATAATAATGAGCATAGCAATACACGAAAATGAAAAAGAGAGACATCTTCATAGTGACCATAGAAAATACACACAAGTTACTGTTCTTGTCTTCTACGTATAACAAATATAGGAGGCAACTGTGTCTAGTGTGAACTTTCTCCTATCGTAGTGTAAATTCCTTGATAGTGGGGGAAACTCCTTACTTACCTGGGTATTCCCCAATGGTGACCACAGTAGCATGTAGTGGACGCACCATAAATTTTGAATTCAGAATTGAAATGAGACCTAAGAAAATCACCAACTTGGCAATCGACCAGGAGTCAATAACCAGGATAACCAGGAGTTAATGCTCTAAAGGGAATCGTAGATAGGAAAAATGACATTCACACTGTCTAAGGCTCTCACGTACTATTAAATGATTTTATGAAAAATAGTAACAAAGAATTCTTCTGATTCCCAAGTTGCTATTGACATGTATTAGAATTGATGTTATGTGACACAATGCTGATTAAGAAATTTTCCAGAATTTATCATTTTCATGTCAGTTTCATTTGGCATCAGGAGGGTGTCAATTAGAATTTAGGACCCTTAGGGGAAGGTTAGATGGGAGATTTTCCTGAGAACTAGGAAGAAGTCATGCAATTGAAAGAATGAATATTGGACTTAGAGTCAGAAGACAGGTTTTAAGTACTAACTCCATGCTCACATGGTATATGATCTTGAGCAAATCTTTCCTTTAGTATTAGTTTTCCCATCTGTAAAAACGGGTAAGAATGCCTACCTTCTTGAGATGATTATAAGCATGATGTGACCAAAGTTAACATAGGAATGTTCACAGTTGGTCTAAAAGAATCCTGTAATTGTTAGTCACATTTCTCTTTTAATCCTCCCTACACCCACTATGCATACCAAAGACAGATTCTTCCTTGTTGAAGAAAGTCTAGATTAATGTCTACACCTGCACACATAAACACACACACGCATGCATATACACATGCATAGCAAGGGAGAGAGAGAAGGAGGAGGAAGGAAGAGAAAAGCAACGTGAGGCTTGGTGTTGAGAAGTTTAGGAGGAATTCTGAGAGAGAGCGTCTGGATTACTACAGGATGTGATGGAAATTAATAGTAAGTAGCATTTTTATAAGTATTACTCGGGACTGTGTATTTCAATCCCTCTTACAATTTTAAAGAAACGCGAATAAAAGATTTGAGCTACTTAGAAAAATTTTTAATTACTTGACTTTGTTTCTTTGACCACAAAATCACATGCAAATTAGACCATGAGAGTCCAGACTTTATAAGGGCACAAAAAAAATATACCAAATGAGAGAATGCACATGAGATTTCTTTTTAAACTGTAAAGTTCTATACAAATATTGAACAATATTGTTACTGTCCCTAAGACATAAGTGCTTATAAATAAGAGAGGACCTCTTCTGTCTACAATGGTTTAGAGTTCTTCTACCTGCTGGCAAAAGCTTTGCCAGTCCAATACTGCTATAAAAGATAATTTTCCTTGCAGTTGAAAAATCAAATAATATTTTAATCATTATTAGAATCGTCTGAGTTGACTGCATATTTTCTGCTTTGTCTTACCTATTATACTACACAAATCCCAAAGACAAAAGACCATGTGTTCTTCGATCAATCATTAACTATTAATCACGATTATAGAATCAATAGCGTGCTAGGTGCCATGGCATTCAAAAAAAGAATAGACATGATTCTTGCTCTTAAGCAAATTCTATTAATATTATTATCATTGTTGTTACTGAACCAGTAGAAACCAAAAAGAAGAGAATGTCACTGTGTGGAACATAAATGCACTTCTAGGCATTTAGCAGAAAGGTAAACCAATGAGGGTTGGAAGGAGGAGGTGAAATCTCAGCTAGATTGTGAAAGATGGATAGCATTTGAATTGTTGGGAAGAAGAAAGGATATTTCAGGTCACAAGGGCACTAGAAACACAAGCATAGGATTGAGCAGGATTTCTTCCTATGAGGGAGAAGACATGTCCTACTCAACAGAAAATATTGGGAAATAAAATTGAGCAAGTAGAGTTCAACCTGAAAATTTGGGTGGAGAGGATTAGGTGTCACATAGCAGGACTTACAATGTCATTAAAGATTTTGGAAAAAGATAAGACAGAATTGTAGGGTTAACCAGAGAAGAGAAACCAAAGAGAAGGAGGTGAAATATAGAACCCGTGTGGCTAACCCAGTGCATCGTCCTGGTTTAGTGTGGTGCTGGAGGAGAAAGAAAGGTTCTGGCTCTATTAACCTTGGCAGTGTGGCAAGGGGAATACATATTTGTTGACTGGCAATATAACTATTTATAAACCCTCAGAATTAGCTTGTCACTTCTCAGGTGTAACAACAGTCCACTGTAACCCAATATATGACTTACATTTGACAGACTGCTCCACAAATCATCATTCTTAGCATTTCCATAGCTGAACTTCTTTAAGTAGTTGATAATTCCTTTCTGGAATTTCTCCTCGCTCAGAAAATCTTTGAGCATATTCAAAATACAAGCTCCCTAAAAAACACAAAGAAAAAGAAATTAAAGGGAAAGGTAGTAGTATATGTTTTTAAAGGAAGCTTCAATTTTATGGAACATGTTAATGTCTGAGACATGAACAGCAAACAAAATAAAAAGTGAAACAGGTAGCAGTAACATGGCATCAACAAAATAAACTGTTGATTTTACTGGGCTCATTATATTTCTCCTGAAAACAGAGCTTCCACTTGTCCGCAGAATTGCCTACCTTCTTATAGGAAACAGTATCGAACATTTCCTTTATTTGAGTAGGAGTTTCTACTTGATTGGAGATAGGACGAGATGAATTTAATGAATCTCTTTTAATTACTTCGAAACACAAGTCCAAAAAATAGTTATCCTAAACAGGGGAGGAAACTTTTTCAATTTCAATATGACACTCTCGAAGCCATAGAAAACATGCTAGGTCTAGTAAGATAGTCTTAGAAGTAAGGATTCAATCAATATTTCTTACAAGATGTTTCTTTTCCCTTATATAGACCCCTTTCACCAATTCTCTACTTCATAAATGCATAAACCCAACATTCCCTCAGTCATTACATGAATGTTTACCAGGTACCAAGCCCTTGGGCACAGAAATAAGACTAATGTTCCTGGCTAGTGAATGCTCGCTATGTGCCAGGACCTTGCATCCGTCATCTGCAACCCTTTCAACACCCTTGTATGTAATGCAAGGCAGATGCATTATACACATTTTATAAATGAGAATGTGTAAAGTTTTGAGATTAAACCATGGATTAAAGCATATAGCAAATAAGAAGACACTGACTTTGAATCCATGACTGTCTATACCATGCTGGACCAAATATCTACCTTAAAGAGCTAGTTATCCGTTACTACGAACCACCTTGATATGTGGTGCTCAGACCCCCTTATACCTACAAAAGATGACATGTTTGAAGACATCTTTTCACACATTCTGGGGAAGTGAACTGGACTTTTGGAAATTCTGGACAAGTGTGCCCCCAGTCATGCTCAATTCAGGCTAATATGCCAAGAACTCTGCACAGGATCTATAGGCATGGGCATTGTCTTGTCCTATATCATCGCTGTGGACAGTGATATTCTCTCCTCTCACTCTACGTACACAGCTGTATATTTGTGCTCTCTGTCCACAAATTTTGCGTGAGAGATTTATGTTGATTGTTCTCTAAAACCTCCAGTGTCTGATCCAGTTCTGTGATCTGTGTCATGGGCTGAAATGTGCCCTCCTCCCCCCCATCAAATTCCTATGTTGAAGCCCTAGCCCCAGTACCTCAGAATGTGGCTGTACTTGGAGACAGTGCCTTTAAAGAGGGGACTGAGCAAAAATGAGGCCTTTAGGGTGGGCCTCAATCCAATCTGACTGGTGGCCTTATAAGAAAAGGAAATTTGGACACACAGAGAGATGCCAGGGATGTTTGTGTACAGAGAATGGACCATATGAGGACACAGTGAGAAAGTGGCTTTCTGTAGGCCAAGAAAAGAGGCCTCAGAAGAAACAAACCTGCCAACACCTTGATCTCAGACTTCTAGCCTCCAGAACCGTGAGAAAATAAATCTCTGTAGTGTAAGCCCCCCAGTCTGTGGTATTTTGTCATGGCCGTCCTAGCAAACTAACGCAATCTCTATCGTATATCAAATAAACACTATGGATTCAAAAACACGATGCCATGTAGTGTTCTTTTCGGTATTTACTAAAAATTTTAATAGCGAATTGGTGATTCCTTAGGGCATGTAGTATGACACACCAGATTGTGAACTTACGAGTTCTAACTCTGGATACGTAGCATTAGCAGAGATAAGTTCCATGTATGTTGCAAAACCCTCATTGAGCCAAATATCATTCCACCATTCCATTGTAACCAGGTTGCCAAACCACTAGGAGATAAAAACTTAATGTTATTAGAAGTTAAACAAATATAAAAAAATTATTTACTGTAGCAAAAGCTGTAATGGGTGCTAACTTCTTTCTTTTAGTAGTTAAGGCCTCCCTTCTATCTTTGCTACTCTTTTCTCTCTGCACAACTTCCTTCTCCTGGTTTCCTTGCCTTCTCTTCTCACCACTGCATTTTTGTTCCTTTTGTGTCCATATTGCCTCCAACTCCCGAACTTCCATCCTATCCTCCCAACATTTCCTAGCTATTAGATTTAATATTAAGAAAAGGAAACATTTTGTGGGGTTGTTTTTCTTTCTTATACAGTAAGTATAATCTCACCTTGTCCTTGATTTATGATGATGGTTTAAGGAGAAACAGAAGCCAAAGTATCTTTGGTGAAGTCACTCCTTTATGTTAAGTAGCAGCTACTTAAGAGAATCATAAGAATTCATTTAGGACTCTCAGATTGTTACATAATATCGCTGATGGGTAAATTTAATTGTTAACCTCTGCCCTGACTAACTTCCAGGGATTAACTTGGCCATTAAAGTGGATAAAGTTCTGAGATTTTAAATATATATAAACAAAATAAAAAGAGTGCATAAGGGTAATATAAATAGAAATTTACCCTTGAACTATATCTGATCTATAACACCAGTTTCAAATATTACTATTTTTTCATATACTTTTATATTTTATTTATTTAGCCTATATGCCCAATACTGTGCATCTGGTTTATCTATTTTAGGATTGCAATCTCCAGAAGGATGGGAAACTTGAATAAAAAGATTCTACGATTCAGAAGCGCCTGTTACAGTTATAGAATAGAACAGCTAGATCTGTAACTTCTGGAAACTGTTTAAACTCTATTCCTTTTCTGATGACCCTCAGATCATTTTGCAAGTAGGCACAAATCTTTCCAGGGGCATCTGCGAGCAGGGATGAGAGGTGTTTCCTCAGTTTGAGAAGTAATGAGTATGAGAAATTCAGGTTGAGCTGATTCTGGTCACTGCGCCAGTTAGTAAGAGTGGCTTATTCATTCATTGAATAAAGATATCTATTGAGAATCTTCTGTGTTCCTGGCACCATGCCATAGGTTAGAAATCTAAAGATGTACATGATATAGCCTCTGCCTCAATACAAATGACAGAGGACAACCTGCAGACAGATACATGCAATAAAGCATCATTGGTGCTACAGTCAATATCTGTACAAGAGACAGAGAGGATTCCAGGACGAAAGGATCAGTTCTGCTGGGAGAGTGTATAGGATAGTCAGGAAATGATTCATTTCCTGAATCTTGCAAGTAGTCTTCAGGTGTGTTGGGAGTGTTGTGTCCCCTAGGCAGGTCAGGGAGCAGGAGCAAAAGCATAGAGAAGCAATACAATCTGGCATGCTGAGGAAATGGCAGGTAGTCGGGATGGCTAAAGCTTGCAGTGTCGGTAAGAGAGGAGGCTGGAGAGGCAGAGAGGGGCTGCATCATGGGAGCCTTGTGTGCCATGCCATGGACCCTTGACTCATCCAGTTGGCATTGAGAGTCTTTGCCAGGGTTTTACAGAGAGGAGTGACATGGTCATATGGAAATTGATGGAGACACAAAATAGTCAAGACAAACATTCCAATGCTGCCTATTGCTTCAGTCCTAGACTCTGTGTTTCCATGAAAGAGAAGCTATTAAAGGAAGGCCCAGAAGGAGCATGGAGCCCTGAGGTAGATCTCTCTGACCATTTCCCTACAAACATTGGGTAGAAAGATTAGGAATCCCCAGACCCAGTTAAGTGCTTTAGAGTTACCAGTGACTAACGATCAGAACCCTAAAATGAGCTGGTGGGGAGTTTCTAAACCAGAGGAAGCCCCCATATGTTCTCAAAGTACAGTGCTGAGCATGCCTCCTACGTAATTGGGTACTTAGTTCACTGCTTAAAAAAACAAAAATGAAAACAAAACAAAAGCAGTATTATAGTGGTGATAAAGAATAAAGGTAAAAATTAAAAGTGGGAGATATTACCACCTTCTACAATGGAATGATATTTGCCTACATGGTGAAAGAGAATTTCTGGGGCCCTTAATCATTCACTGTTCCTGGAGATTTTCAGAAACGAAATAGAGTAGAAGTAGTCTCTGATATCTATAGAGCTGGTTTTATAGTTCCATGTTTTTATGTAATATAGTCTTGACAGATGGGCCTTGGAAATCTTATTCTGCAAGAAATGGTAGCAGCAGTAGCGGTCATTGTCATCATCATTAATAACTAATGCTTATTAAGTGCCTACAATGTGACTGGTGCAGACGCTTATCTGTAATCCTCACAACAGTTTCTAGAAGCTGTTATCAACTTTTTATATTCTTAACTATTATTATTGACTTAATTTATAGATGAGGACACTGGAGTTTAGAGAATTAGGTAGTATGTCCAGGGTCAGCAGCCCATGAGACTTGGACTTGAAGGACTTCACTGTGGCCATATAATCACAGGTTCCAATGGAAGGGAGATTGATTTTGCTCTATATTGGAATGCCACAGTACTAGGGGGTATGAGGAGAAATATTTTTTAATATAAATCTATATTTGCAGGGTTTCCAATTCTCTGCTATATGTTTCTGCATATAGTCCCCATACTTCTTTGAGAAAAGATATTTGAAGCCTTTGCCTTGAAGGGTTTTAGAAGATATAGTGGCTGCTTCTCTTGTGATAAAATTCCTGTAGATTCCCATAGTCTAGAGACTGAGCCCTCTGCTACTTGACATATTGTGTTTGGTTTGATAATTCCTAAGGTCCCCTCTAGAGGTAAAATGTGATTTTATGTTGTTTCAGAGAGATTGGTGGCGTTCTGTATAAATGCTCTCTTGGGCAGATACTAAGAGAATGTCATGAGTGCCAGGTACCTGGTGTGCTAGTTCATGGGCTACGACTTTGGTGACCCATAGTTTATCGGAAACAGAAGAGGTCTTGGGATCAAAGAGCAGTGACGTCTCTCGATACGTGATGAGGCCCCAATTTTCCATAGCTCCAGATTCAAAGTCAGGAATCGCAACTAGATCTAAGAAACAAGAACAACCACACTTGATCATTATGGTTTCCACACCAGAAGTGAGATTTGCTTCCTCCTCAAATACGTTATGATCCTTTCAGAGTCTACAAGCAGACTTTCTGAAAAATACCAAAAATATCTAAACATTGAGATGGTGTCTTGTAGTTGCACTGAAAATAACCAGTACCCATTATCAAGCAGAGTAAGTTCTATCAATATAGTTTTGGTTGTAGCTGAAGTAACCTATTGACATTTAACCATTTTTTCCTAAAAGTGCCAAACTCTGAAAACACCTTGGGTGCATTACTGCTAAGAAAATAATTCATTTAAAAACACTCATATTGTATTTTATATTAGTACTACTGAAAAACTTCAAAAATAAAAGTTATCAAATAATTTCTAATACTTTTGAGATTCATCAAAACATATAATAAACTATTTCTACAAAAAAGAGAAAGATACAGGATTTTAATATCAGGAGAATGCCTTTTAGGACCAATCTCTATAGTCAATATTTCAATTAATACTTCAAGAACATATGGCCTTTATTATGAGCAAAGTTCCTTCTAAGGTAGTAGAAGAGAAAAACTGTGGGCCTCAGTTCTTTCTGATCTCAATTTCCTTTTCAACACTGATATTTCCTCTACCTCTTAACAAAGTCTTGGGGGGAAAAAGTGAAATTTCATTGTCTTTAAGCAACTCAGGTATAATGTATATTAATTTATAATATATCAGTGCGCGTGTGTATGTATGTACGTATATATGCATCCTTTGCTAATGACTTCATGTAGGTTAGAAAATTTCTGGTTAATATCTAATCTTGGAATTCTTTCTTTTTACACTGCCAGGCCATTTTGGGAGAAGTACTGTTTGGCTAAAAAGGAAGGTGATGTTTTTAAAGTTTGAAATGAACCAAGTCTCTTGGCTTGTAATTACATTGTCTGGAATTAATACTGGTTAATTCTAGTGGACAAAAACAAATATTTATAGGACAATCCAAAAGTAAATTAGCACTAATAAAGATTAGTATTCATTAGCACTTAACTGTGGGAATGACTCCTTTTCTAAATTGCATTGACGATTTTATATTACTTGGATTACTTCCCATAGCCATTAGAGATGCTTATGTCTGTTCTATTTTTTCTTAAGCTCCATGCTTCTTTTTAGTTAGTTTTAAAAGACATTTCATATGGTCTTCAAGGTTGCATTTTTCAAGAAAAATGTAAGATTAGTCACAGCTGTTATTTGATCCTTCCTTGACTTTTTACATAGAGGCCAGCAGTGCAGTACGGGGAAACTGAGTTGAGTATATCTGCACTAAAGAGTATATAGAACCTGCACTGTAACAATATGGTGAGAACTCAGGAACTATAGAAATAAGCCCCTAGAGATGTCTTTTGATGGTTCCCGTTACTTTTTCTAAAAAAACTGCATGGAGGTTGTGGGGGAAGGGGAGGAAAGACATGATAAGGACTTATGCCCTAACGTCCCAAAGAAAAAAAGATGTTTTGTCACTGTCAGAAACTCTAAAAACTAATCTATATAAGTTATAAAACTTAAATCGTGGTTTTTATATGTTCCACAACATTATAAAAATCACAACTTTTATTTTTTTAAGATAGAAAATTAGGGGCCAGCCCCACTGGCCAAGTGGTTAAGTTCGTGCTCTCTACTTCAGCGGCCCAGGGTTTCACCGGTTTGGATCCTGGGCGCGGACATGGCACCGGTCGCCAAGCCACACTGAGGTGGCGTCCCACATGCCACAACTAGAAGGACCCATAATTAAAATATGCAACTATGTACTGGGGGGATTTGGGGAGAAAAAAAGCAGGAAAAAAAAGAAAGATTGGCAACAGTTGTTAGCTCAGGTGCCAATCTTTAACAAAAAAAAAGACAGAAAATTAAAACCAAGATAGACAGTTTGTATCTTCTTATACAAAGACCTACTACTACCACATTCAAATTATCTATTTCCTCCAAATCTGTTTTTTTAAGTCTGTGCTGCAATCTTATCTTCCAGCCTCGAATGTACTGTATATAACAGATGAAGAGACAATTTTCCTCTGTTTACATAAACCTTTGGTAACTTTTATAAAAGATTGCTGGTCTTGTACAAATATGGTATAGAAAAATATATATATGCTCCAGAAAATTCATCCAGTTAAATTTAATATGCAATGCAGCTGTTTTAATATTAAACCTGATAAAAGAATAGACAAATGATTCACACTACTTTGGCTTTTCATAAAGACCTTATTTTCTACACTCAAGGACCATCTCTGAGGTACTTCTCTGCTTCCTGGACTAACTGAACCTCTTCAGTGCTCATTTAAATCACATGGAAAGAGGAAAGAAATCAAAGCAAGTTCTATAAAGAAAAATAAAGACAATGATGTGGGATTTGAACCTACCTAGTTTTGGGAGTGGATAGTTGATGTCGAAGTAATTTTCGTAAAAGTCAAGTAGCTTCAATGATGCTTCCAAAGCATAATGCGTTTGACTCCATTTGTCTGGGGATGCATAGACGGACACCTGAGAAATGTTGATGAGAAGAAGTGGTCTTAGAATGACAGCTCCTTGGTACAGTTCCATTTCCGATAACCCTCACCCAAAGAAAGGCAGACTGCATTTTTCAAGAAATTATTGAGATATCATTAAGCATGTTGTTGATAGAGGGTAAGATGTTCTATAAAGTTTTAAAGCAAAAGTCCGTCTTGAATTAGAAACAACCCTGCATCTTCTGTTACAATCCATTCCCTAGGTGCTAATCTATAAATTTCAAACTATATTAACCCATTGTATCAGGAGCGCCTTCTTGGGCTCATCACTATCATGCATTTTGAGAGCTAGCCTTCCAAAATCATGAGCACCAACATGTTCAAATAAAATATAGTTCTCTGAGGTGGGAAAACTTTCAAGAATTTATTGGATCTACTTCCCTGTCATTTTTACTATAAACTCAAAAATGCCCAAATATGTTCGTTGACACCCCTCAAAGTAACTAACCATTAAGTGGAAAAAATAAAATTAGATTCCAGTTTTCTTGGGTTTCAGGCATAGTGCTACTTTTATTTCATGATCTTCTTTTAATTAACTGAATTAATTAACTGAATTAACTGAAGTCCCTCAGAACTTTTATAAGAAGGATATGCTAATGGCCACCATTTTTTGACAGTTTATCAGGCCCTCTGGTAAGTGCCTACGTGTAAAATCTAATTTAATTCTCTCAAAAATCTTATGAAGTTGGTGCTATTATCTTTATTTTAGAGATGAAGGGGTGGAAAGGCATGGAGATTAATTTTCTCCAAGTCACCCATGTCGATAATTGTAGAGCTCGATTGAATCCCAGGAAGTTGACAGGAACCTGTCCTCTGAAGTAAAGTGCCATCTGATCTCCCACACATCTGAATCTGTGCACATATATATCTATGTGCAGAGATGCCGTGAAAGGTACGTAGATATGTTGCTCATAATATATATCTACATATCCACAGGCATAATATGTATGCAAATTGTGACAGCCATTTTATAACTATTTCTTATACACATTATTTGATTCTTTGAATATGTTTTAACGTCTATCATTTCATTTCTCAGGGTAAGGAGTTCTTTTTTATTTTTAATGTCTCCACTGATGTTTTCCAAACTTTATAAGATAATCATTGGGTATTGTAAATTTTTGCAAACAACGAAGACTAAAAATTATGAAGAACTCCTTTCACTGAGGAAAAAAAGTTACAGAAAACAATTGGAAACAATGTGGACGTCCTAAGATAAGAGGCTGATTTAAAAATCCTTATGGCACCTCCATACTATACATATATATACATAGGGCTATAGTACTATGCAATTATAACTATAATATTATAGGAAAATATTTCCATTTAATAGCATTCAATTTTTATGGCATATTATGGTGAAAACTGAGTTAAAACAGTCATATAATGTTTTGTGAAAAATATTTATATACAGTATATAGTTACTATGTACACTCATATACTAACATACATATAGAAAATATTTGGAAGGCTTACACTAATATTATTAGTAATTATATCTTGGTGATGGGACTATGGGTAACTTATTTTATTTTTTGCCTTTCTCTATTTTGTAGAATAAGATTGATACTTCGATAATAAGGAAAAAAGCTTAAGAAAATAAAGAAGAGCTCATTGCCCTCAGGACACTATTCTGCACTGTGTATGGAATTAGAACTCAATCTCACCTTGACCCCTGATGAGGATGTGCCACTCACAGAGTTGAAGTCACAAACTATGTAGGCTACAAGATATGTACTCATTTTTACAGTAGTTTCAAAATGATCTTCCAAGAGGCCTCCTTCAAGTTCAATTGTCTTAACCTACAGGAAGGGAAAGAATCAGCATTTGAAAACTAGAGTGTTTTACAACAATGCCTATGACTTAAGTTGTAAACTAGAGGAAAGCATGACACTCTGAAGGACACTCCATGCCCTTAAAAGAGATCAATGGCCTGTCATAACATCCTGTAGCCTCTCCTCCCTTTCTCTTATCTCTGGACTTCCTCGAAGATCTAATGCACTACTTCTGGGATCCCAAAATAATGCCAAATCTTATTTTGTTGCTTGAAAGCAGAAAAAAACTTAGATGCTTCTACTTTCTTAAAATGCAGTAATCTCCACGACTGGCACAATTTCAAATTCTGCACATCTAAGGAAAAAGACCAGAGAATAGACCCTTTTCCTTTGTTTATGAGACAGTTAGCTCTCTGAATCCTGTGGTTTAGCATCCCTGGATTCAGCCAACCGTGGATTGAAAGGTCTACCATGGTTGTGTCTGTTCTGAACACATACAGACTTTTTCCTTGTCATTATTCCCTAAACAAAACAGTATAACAATTATTTACGTAGTATTTACAGTGTATTAGATATTATAAGTAATCTAGAGATAATTTAAAGCATACAGGAGGATGTGCACAGGTTATATGCAAACACGATGCCATTTTATATGAGACTTGAGCATCCGTGAATTTTGGTATCCTGAGTGTCCTGGAACCAATCCTATGCAGATAACAAGGGACAACTATATAATAAATAAATGTCTGTTTCAGAAGGAAACAGGAAGCAAAGTTGTGTTAGATGCTTTGCATTAACTTTTAATCCTCTAATTATTTGTGTGTGAGGTAGGTGTTATTTCACCTGCGACCAAACAGTCTCAGAAAAGTTACTGAATTGCCCAAGATCACATGGCTAGTTTTACAGCAAGACCAAGACGTGGATGTGACCGTGTGACTCCAAAGACCTTGCACATTCTTTCACTTGCTGTGTGACAGCTTGAGTCATAGTCTTATTTTATCTTTGCTCCATTGATTCAGCAATGAAAGCAGTCAGGCCAAGGAGGTCATTAGTAATTTAAGTTTCTGCCTATCTACTGAGGAAGCAAAAAGTTTTAAGCCTACAGACAGGTCAGTCGCATCCATCAAATTCACTGAGTAATTACTGAATTCTATCTTCATTTGTTCTGGATAGCTTGTCCCAGAGATGGTCTCTGCCATGGTACAAGGCCCCTAAATACTGAGTGGATACAGATCCAGTAATATGAAAATACCACTTTCTTCAAATTGGTAACAACTCGCAGACTAGTTTACTCCACCCTGGCCACTCCTTTCAAGGTGTCAGGCTTTTGGCAGTATTAACCAGGGCTTATTGAGCATGTTTTATGTGTTTGGATAAGATTGCAATTTGCTTTGGTGAGAGAAAATAGCTTGAAGTATTAACCATAAACCGCCTAGCCTACTTCAATGACAAATGTTTGTGCTGTTAAAATTTACATCATTTAATTCTACAGAATTCTATCAAAAAGTCAATTCTTAAGTTCCAATAAAGCAGAATACACTAGCCAAATACTCTAAGAAAGGGAGGGATATATATGGGGCTGTAATTTTTATCTCTATACAGCAAATTAATTTTGCCCAACAACAATCTCTTTTAGGAGTCTGATTCAACCAGAGTTCCATGGGGACATACTCCTAGCAGAGGAGAGGGTTATGATGGGGACCAGCGATGGGCCATTATGATTATAGTCCTCTGATCAAACTCAGCAGCAAAACCATTTAGTCAAGTGTATGGAAGGAGGAGGAGGTAAGGCTGTGGGACTATGGGGAAATGAGAATCTGTCACACTGGACTGCTGGTGGCAGAGATGGTTAGGAGACAGATGGACATTCCCTCTGATTTCTCTCCCCAGAGGAAGATATAGCCCATGGAGGCTGAGTTTTGTTCAGGAACCTGGAGTGACCCATGTAGATTAACATTGGCCTTAAATGGAAGTGTATGGGGTGTTAGCGTAAGTTCTTCGGAATGGTGATGTAAGCTCCAAGTATAAAGCATTTGTTGCTAGACAAGGATCTAGCTGTTTTCTCAGTGTTGGCAGGACTCTGCTTGCAAAGCAAGTGTTACCAGCAAGTATGTGTTCCATTAAGGATGAAGGGGACAAAGAAATGCTCAAAAGAGATGTTGCCTCTGCTAGTGCTTGGGTGGCCACTTCACTTCCCTTAAATCTTGTATTCTTAACCATACAGATTGAGAACTTAGTATATATTGCTTCTTCCTACCAGTCCATAACCCATGTTAAGTGCTGTAATTACTATCCGGAGAATATAACTGTAGCGTTACTTCAGTTCTCCTTTTCCGGCTAACCATGAAAGCCTGGGCTGGGCATGTCAATGAGAAGCAAAAAGCTAAGCTCAGTATTGGCTGAAAAAGACACAATCCAGAGAACTGGTCCAGTTAACTGATTCAGGGTTGTATAAAATATTTTCAAAGTGTTCACTTATTTTTCTTAAATATGAGAAGTTACTGGATGTTTCTGAAGATAGAAAATTTAAATTCGAATATAATAACAAAATGGTCATTTGTGTTTGCATTGTATTTTAATTAGAAGGCTTTACTAACTGTATTTTTACTTCACCCTCCATGATTGTTCATTTGAAACATTACATTAATAAAAAGCTGCCAGGAAAGAGATTGAACTGTCCTTAAACGAACACTCAGTTGGAAAGAAAACTTGGAGTTAAGGTGGCAGATCATTTTACCTGAAAATAACTAGGCTAATTAAATTGCTGTCAGTATGACCATGGGGAAACTACGGTATGTATGTCACATGGAGTGTTGTCACTTTTCCCCTTGATCTGCTCTGCCAGTATTTCAGAGCATACTGTTTCCAGCATTAATCAGAAATCTGGGGAACTTCAGTGTCCAGCTTATCCGCTCGTTTCTTCGTTTCATCCACAGAAGGCAGTCACTGTGCAGGGCAGAGAGGAAGATGGGAGGGCCACTTGCTGCTTATGATGACCTGGCTGCTTTCTGTGCTGCTCATCCTGCTGAAGTACTGTCAGGAGAACCTCTATTTCTGTCCGACTTTCCAAGCAGCAATGAGGAAATGTTTTACATCTTGTTCAACAACGCAAATAGCAAGCACATCATTAGTGAGCAAGTATCTTGTGAGGCTCAGGGTCTACTGTGTCTTTCAGAATCTCTGCATTTTGAGTACAAATTGAGCCAAATAAAAGTTTTCAAAGGTCCCTTTCAATTAAAAAAGTGTATAACTGTAAAAAATAACTTTTAATAAGTAATTTTAAGAACTACCCATGAAACAAAAAAAATGATTTCTAAGTTCCATCATAGATGACTAGATCAGATTTTCCTGGGGTGGGGCCCAGGCGGGGTTCTCTAGATCCTTAGCTGTGGCGTCACCTGGGAGCTTGTTAAAAAGTCAGAATTTTGAGTGTCACCCCAATACCTACTGAATCAGAATCTAAATTTTAACAAGATTCTCAGACAATTCATGTGAACATTAAAGTTTGAGAAGTACTGTTCTAGGTGGTTCTGAATTTCATCACTGGCCAAGTAACACTGATTTAAAAGAACACTGTTTCCATACGAACACAAATAAAATAAAAATCACTTAAAAAAAAACTTCTTGTGTAACCATGCCTCAAATAGAATGATGCTAAAATCTAGATGGATTGAGGCTATTTTATGATACGTAGACAGATTAAAAACAAATTAATGGCTTAAGTCCTGAAAACAGAGGAAATATTTTTTAAAAAACACAATAAAGACCAAGGCTCAACTTGAGAGCAATTCCCCCAAAGTTTCTGAAAATGGCAATACCTTTGGCATGTTGGATAGCGCAATGTGTCTGCTCTCTCTTCTTATCTTGATCGAAAAGCTGGCTTTGAACAGTGGTTCATCAAAGCAAGGGAAGGCCATTCGGGCCTGGGTTGGCTCAAAATCAGTTACTGCAATTGTTCTGTGAAAAGAAGACCCCCCGCCCCCGGCCAGAATACACAAATGAAATAAAAAAAAACAGAAACAAATTTGTACCTTCAGAACACAGCTTATCAAACCTGGAGGTAATATGTTTGATTTGTGACACTATAATCTTAGTGACTTCAGACTCTATTTTTGAAGAAAACGAGGGCAAAATTTTGCTTAGTAGCTGCTGATCATAAATAATGCACAGTGCTGGGCACTCTACTTACATGGTCTCCTTCATGCTCATGTCAGACAAGGATATTGAGGCTCAGAGAATTTGAGTGAGCTTACCAGGATCCCTAGAGAGTAAATGGCTGAGACAGGCACGCCCAGTCAACTTGACCTCAAAATTGACTAGGAAATTAGTAGTTTGGTACCATCTCTAAACCTGAGGGAGCTTCAATCAGACATTTGAATAACTATATATTTATTCATATTTATACAATTGTATATTTATACAAATAATTGTATAATTATTTATAATAATATTTATATACAAGTGATGTCTTAGATAGTGTTCCCAGGAAGCAGACTCTGATTTATTAAGAACATACTGAAAAGAGAAACAGGAAAGGGAGTGAGGGACGCAGGACAGGGAGTAGGAAGAAGCCAGGCCGGCCGGGTCCCAGCTGCAGCCTGGTCCCCGGGGAGCTCTGGAATGCAAACTACACATTCCAGTTTTCCTTACTGGAGGCAAGGAGCTGGGCTTTCAGATTCCTGTATGGTTGTTGACTAAGGGTCTCCATGGAGGACCTAAGCCTCTAGACACTCCTGGCTCTCTCTGCTTACCAGCAAAGCCTCTCCAGTCTTCAGACTATAATAGATAGATAGACCCTCGGATGAAGCTCTATGCTCATCGCTTTATGATGCCTGACATTGTGTAGTTACAGATCTATTCTTTGGGCTTAAAGCTTCAATTAAGAAGCAAATGTGGGGGCTGGCCCCGTGGCCGAGTGGTTAAGTTCGCGCGCTCCGCTGCAGGTGGCCCAGTGTTTCGTTGGTTCGAATCCTGGGCGCGGACATGGCACTGCTCATCAGACCACGCTGAGGCAGCGTCCCACATGCCACAACTAGAAGGACCCACAACAAAGAATATACAACTATGTACCGGGGGGCTTTGGGGAGAAAAATGGAAAAAATAAAATCTTAAAAAAAAAAAAAAAAAGAAGCAAATGTGGAGATTTTGACTGGGGGAGGGGAGAAGAGAAAAGCTAAGGGTCAGATAAAGAGTGAAAAGGGCCAAGAGGGGCGTCTCAAAAAAAGAAGGGCCATCAGGGTAATTTTGCCCCAATTTACTTTATTTCTATAAAACCCGCTGGAAAAGTGAGGCTGTGGGATCTAAATGATTTGTTTGGGTCCTCGGGGTATTACTTGGATCTGGTAGCAGGTCCCAGAAATGTAAAGGAATTCCAAGTGCCTGGAATGATTTTCACTAATGTGAAGTTTCAGTTATAGTTAAGACTTACATTGGAAAAGCAAAAACTTGAGGATTTGCTTTGATACTTACACAATTGATTTTAGTTCTGCATACAAAGTAGTGACTTCCTGCTTCTCAGATAACTATTGTTGACTGAATTATTTTTGTATTTTAGGTTAAGTTGTATGTGTGCGTGTTTGTGTATTGTGTGTCACATGGTGTATGTGTGTGTGTGAGAGGCAGAAAGAGATCATGACACTCAGTTGACATTCTCCTGCAAATCATCCTTCATGTTATACCTACTAGGTGACTGTGTATGAAGAGAGCTGACTAATCAATCAGAAGATTGATTCAATAAGTCAATAAGAAGAGTCAGAAATAGCCTGCAGTTAATTATGGGAGGCATAATTCTTACTCCAAAAAAATCTCCCCCTCCAGTCTCCCAAAATTATACCCTTAAAATGTATTTCCCTTAGGTGAACATTTTGTCCCTTGAAAAAATAAAAATACCCATCACTGGCCACAGGGTGCGTAGGTGAAAAGAAGTTGATAAGTTTCCTATCAGATACTGTGCTGGACCTGAGAACAGGTGCCTGAGAATCGAGGCTGCAAAATGGGGAAGCATCCCCAAGGGGAGGGAAAAGAGATGTGTCCGGGGAAGTGCTGTCCTAAGTGGACTGCTGGGGCTGTGAAGTGGGTGTGTGAGCCCCCAGAGGGCAGTTAGCTCCTAAGGCGGGGAAGGGAAGAAGACGTATGTACATGTATGGACACTGCTAAATCCCATTCCCGTTCTTCAGTTCCAACGGAATCCTGATTCTGTTCAGGAAGGCAATTTGCCCAGATAAAAGGATCACTTCTTTAGACTCTCGTGCAACTTGGTGGGCATATGACTCGTTCTGGCCTAGTTGAAGTTCTTGGGCGGGAAAGCTCTGTAAAAGGAGTCAGACTCAGCTGGAATGTTTCTTTTTGCCTTTTTCTCTCCCCTATTTCCCCCTTCTTCCTACCTGGAATATGGACTTGAGGCCTAAAGGTGCGGAAATAATCTTGTCTTAGGAGGAAAGCCATATGCCAAGGGTGGCTGAGGAGAAAGATAGAAGGAGCCCAGGTCCTGGATAACACGAAGAGCACTGTAGCAAACCTGAGCTGCCCTACATCTGGATTTCTCGCTGCGTGAGAAAAATAACCCCTATGTGGTTAAGCTATTGTATTTGGGTTTCTCCAACTGGCAATTGAATGCAATTGATGAAAGGCAGGAGAGCACTGAAACCAGGCTCCTCTTCCCTCCCACATGGACCCAGGCCCTGGACCACCAAATCATCCACTCTACGAAGCATCCTTGATTCCTCTCTTTTTCTCACCTCACATAACCAACATGTCCGCAATTCTCTCTGTTAAACCCTCCAAAGTAAATGCCAAGTTCAATCGCTTCATTCCATAAGCACCGCCACTAGCCTGGCCCAAGCCACCATCATTTCTTGCCTGAGCTGCTGTGATGACCTCCTAAATGACTGCTCTGCGTCTACTTTTTCCTCTCTCTCGTAGCCTCAACACACACTTGATCCTTATAAAGCATACATCAGATCAGAAGCTTCCAGTGACTTCCACTTGCACCTGAGTAAAAGCCTAAACTACTCATAAGAGTCTCTGTCTCTACATGATCTGCTCCCTTTCCTTCTCTCCCTTGCTCCCTCTCAAGCCACGCTGGCCTTCTTTTCTCAATCACTCCCACCTTTACAGCCTTTGCACTTGCTGAGCCCTTTTCCAGGAACACTTTGCCCTTTGATGCCCTCACAATTGTCTCCTTTTTTAAAAGAAATTCAGGTCTCAGTTTCAATGCACCTCCTCAGCAAGGACTTCACTGATCACTCAGGCAAATTCGTCTCAATGCCCAGCTACACTTAGGCTCTACTGTAACGTCTTGTTTTATTTCCTTCATAGCACTTATCTCTTGTCTTGTCCATTTAATTTATTTTCTTGTCAAATCCGTATCTCACCAGTGCCTAGAACAGTGGCTGGCATATAGCATGTGCCCAATGAACATGAGCTGATTGAATAGACCATATTTCTCAATTCTCCAAACCGACTTGTTCCTTCCTCCTGGATTTGAGTCAAGCTGTTTCCTGGGCAATGTACGTGTTCTCACTTCCTCTCTCCCAACCCAAATCTCACTTACATTTCCTTCTAGTCCTAGATCAAGACTCACCTCCTTTGAGATGCCTTCTCTATTTCAGCTCTCTGTACTGACCATCCATTTCCCTAGCAGATACACATATCTGTCTTACCACAGTCACATACTGGCCTTTCCTCCTGCTCATTCTCCCTCCAGCTGTTTATGCCTCTACATCTTGTCTTCCCACTTTCACTGAGATTTCCTTTAGGAATCACAGAGCTTCTCCTTCTTCGGAGTTTCCCGTAGTTTATTGGGTTTTTCATGAATGACTGCTGAAGCACACTCCTGGCAAAGAGCTGTACCCCATAAGGAAAGTATCATAAGAAACTAGAAACAGCTGGAGCAACATCTTACCTTGTTTCACCACCAAGAGTTCTATACGTGCTTTTATAAAATCCTTCAAAACCATCAGCTAACTTGGCCTGGAAGTCAATAGTCACATAGTATCTCAGGTCAGCCATAAGTTTCTCTGGAACCAGCAGTGCAATTTGTTGATGAGCAGGATAACTCAAAACAGTCAGCTTTTTTCCTGGTTTCCTATATCTCACATCTTCCTCTGACTGAAGGGTAGCATTTGTGATTTCAAGATCTGTGCTGTGCAAGATGATGAATTGGGTGGCATCTCTGACCAAGACTTCAATCTTCTCAGATGCAACAAAGTCCAGGGATGTGAGATTTGGGTGGACAAAAAGGTCATAGTGGAGAGGAGTGACCACAGTGGGGAGCCTCAGCTCATGCCAAGGAAATGGTTGCCCATTGGTGGCTACTGGGAAAGTCCCAGCATCCTTATTGAACTGATCAATAGATGGCGTTGAGAAGTAAGAACAAATGCACATTTGGGGCAGGATGATTGCTGAGCAGTAAAATCCTATGTAAATATTAAATATTAGTTTTCTGCATGAATTATCCATTGCAGAAGAATGGAATACTAAATCTATTCTCTAAAAGACAAGTTAATATCCAGTCCAAATATCACAGTTTTCCATAATACTGCGGTGGCTCCAGTTACGTCACACAGGATATGAATAATATGTTTCAATAAATAGATTTAATCTAGAAGAAAAAAAAACTGTTTATAGCATGAAGAAAAAGATTTCAATATATAAATAAAATCTTAAAAAATAAAAGGATATACGTGAATGGGGAAAATCTGCTCTCTGTCAGAATCAGGCAAGTATCCACAAAATAAAGCAGAAATTGAGCTGTCATCTGATTACTACAAATAAAAATCCTTTAGGGGCCGGCTCCGTGGCCGAGCGGTTAAGTTCGCGCGCTCCACTGTGGCGGCCCAGGGTTCGGATCCTGGGCGTGGACATGGCACCACTCGTCAGGCCACGTTGAGGCGGCGTCCCACATCCCACAACTAGAAGGTCCTGCAACTAAGATATACAACTGTGTACGGGGGGGTGGAGGGGGTTTGGGAAGATAAAGCAGAAAAAAAAAAAAAAAGATTGGCAACAGTTGTTAGCCCAGGTGCCAATCTTTAAAAAAAAAAAAAAAAAATCCTTTACAGCTCAAATGAAAGGACTCTGCCTTAAAATTTCCTCTCTGCATTCCTGTGCAATATGCAGAAGGCAGTGTGTAAATTCATTGCACACTGAATGTTTTTAACAGTGGCTACATCATTTTAAGAGTATGCCTGGATACCTGAAAGGAAACTGCCCAGGTGTCTCCATTTTGTCTTAACAAGTCATGAAGAATATTCTGTATTCTTTGGATACCAGATATTACTGTTATTAATAGCAGTGAACTTTACCTCATGTAATAAATAAATAACATCATCTGAGTGGCCTTATTCTATGGCTGCTGAAGTAGAAGATGCTAGTCAAGCTAAGTATTTACCTTCGGTTTATTTCCAATATATCTAAAGCCATGGAAACAAAATTTGAGTTTATAATATTCTAACTGAGAATATTCAAAAAATTGTTTTGGTCTTCCTAATCTTAGGCTGCCTTTGAAAATACAAATTACACTGAATTCACTGCCTTTGTAAAACAGAACTAAGACAATTTCTTCTTATGGGAAGGTTAATGCTACAAAACATACAAAATTAGGACAAACAACATAGTTAATCTGGTTGATTCAACTCTGACTCTCACCCTTCCACCTGCCTCTATTTACTTGCTCCCTGCTCCAAGTTAAACCCATGAATGGTTGCCTTTTCTTTTAGATCATTAATATGTTCTTCAGAATTCATTATCTGAACAATTACTTCAATTTTAAATTTGCAATATTAATGCAGATCAACAAGTATTGTTAAAGAAACAAACAAAAAAAGAATAAAATAACGATTATATAACAACACTTCTCCCTCTTTTTCAGACAAGTATTAAATTACTGCTACCCAATCTCAATGTTCCAAGACCCTCTGACACATAAAACCAGAACTGGTCTATTAGCTTGAATTTCTGATGGTTTGAAAAATAAAATTGCTTATTTGTTAGTCCTGAGCTTGGGAATCAGAACGCCTGGATTCCAATACTATCTCCGTCATGTTTACCTGAATGATCTTGGGCAAATTTATTGATTTTTTGAGCACCAGTTTCCTCATCTATAAAATAGTGTAATAATTATACTGTCCTCACAGTATGAGGATTAAGTAATTCATGCGAAGAATTTGGCAAAGCACAGCAACTAGCACACAGGAAGCATGTAATGGATGTTAAATATTAAATTCTTATTGTGATTATTATAACACATCCTCTGGCCTAAATTGAGGAGTAGTTTTGCCACATTTGTAGCTGACACACCCAAAGAAAGGCGTATTCTTTTGGTAAGAGTGGAGAGAAAGGCCTTGATATTTGCATATATAGTCTTTAACTTTAGAACTGGCAAGGATTTAAAGGCCAGTTAGTACAAGTCCTTTGTGTCCAGATAAAGAAACTGAGGGCGAGTGGCTTTCCCAGCGTCAGACAGGCAGTTTGAGGCAGAATCAGGCCTAAATTCCTGCCCCTTGATCCTCCGGCTAGTCGTGCCCCTCCCCCAACTGCACCACGCCTGCGATAGCATTGCAGCGAACAAAACATTCTGGGAATGAAGACACAAGACCCGCAACAGACATTTGGAAGAGGCTGAAAGATCTCCAAAGGAAAGTGAGTCAGTTCAACAGAGAGATTCTTAAGTCAAATCCTATCCCTAGCTGCACCTACCTTCCAACACAGTTGGGCCACAGTCAGCCCCTTTCCCAGACCCTCTGCCTAGATTACAAAACCTCCTCAATACAGTAGTTTCATACCTTCAGTTCAGGTCATTCTCACCAAAAACTTCTGATTTTAAGATAAATTCAAGAGAAATGTTAATGTGTTACCTAGTCCACGCCGTTGCAGGTTTGAATGAAAGGGAGTTTAATTTTGCTTTCACTTTCTGTTCTGGTGAGGCTCGGAGCTCGGCACACTTCCTGATTATAGCACTAGCAGGTTCATTAGCATATACAGAGGCGTAAATGAAGCTTAAGACAAGCTTAGTCCAAAAAGCATGAAAAATTAACAAGTGGCTTAGAGTAAAAGCTACACCATGCAAGGCAGGGCAGGACTCCAGCATCTCGGTGGCTGCTCTGCTGTTTTATCTTCCCTACCCACTTCTCCCCAGGTGTAAAGAACCTAGTCTGGACTTTTTAATGCCAAGTTGTTTTAAGGCAGGACTTTGAATTCCTCACTGTGCTGTGTCCTTATGGCCATGACATCTAACCTCTGTCCACCCACTCCTGAAAACATCACTCCAAGGCTACCAGTGGCCTCCCAGTGGGTGTCTATGGCCCTGATCAGAGGTGATTGTCCCTGGCTTTTCCATATCTATAACCTCTTGCTTCATGGGCATCAAGGGACTGTCTCCCACCCTCGTCTCTCCATCTTTCTATCTGCCAAGTCTAGCTGGGCCTCTTCTTCCTCACCACCCAGGAAGTGGGCCTTCCCCAAAGATGAAACCTCTGTCCTCTGCTCTTTTCTTTCTTCGTTCTTTCCCTCAGAGAGTATGTTCAAGTGTAGAGATTTCTCATTTATCCGCCTTCTTCCCCCATTTCTCTCCCCTGATCTCTCCTTCCAGGCTTCTGCTCCTACAGTTCCATTGGCCTGATGGGCTGTCTTTTCATGGGTGTCCTTCTAACGACCCACACAATGTCTTCTTTCCCCAGATTGCTTCCTTTTGCTTTTACTTTACCTGCTTCAAGCCTTCCTCCATTATCTATGATGGGACCACATAACTATTTTGATTCTGCTCCTCTCCAGTTTGTTACCAAGTCCTGTTGATTCTTCCTTTTTAATCTCCATTTATCCAACTTAAAAACCCCCACAGTCATCAAAGCAGTCCAGGCCCCCATCATTCCTCACAAAGGCCTTCAAACAAGTCTTGCTGTCTTCTCAAGGCCTGGCCCTGCGGTCCACTTGTATGACACCAGCCAGCAGATTAATTCTCTGAACTACTGCTTGATCATGCCACCCGCCTGATCAAAACCTTTCCATGGTTTCTTCCTGTTTTACAAGAGGAGCAATTCCCTGTGTGGAGACCGTGGGTGGACAACTGGTATCCTATGGGCCACATGAAACTTTTCATGCTCTGTCTGGTGTTTGGTTTAGATCCTAGTGCATTAAAGGGCAACGCACCCGCACAAGTGTTATTCTTGAGTGAAAAATGACGAGCTTAGCCCTTCTTGTCTATAAACCCTCTTCATACACTGGTATTCATACCTTGTCCTGCTGGGCATTCAAGTTTCTTTGCTGTGCCTTTGGCTACAGTTTCAAATACTGCCATGATTAGATCCTAGTTCACTCTCAAGGTTTAACTTCTTTTCTCTTTATAAATTTTATCATTTCAACCTGGATGAACAATTTGATAAAATAGAAGGAGCAAAAGCCGAGGAGGTAGCCTGCACCTAAGGCCAGAGGCACAAGGCTGAATGGGGTCCCTCAGAGAGGCATTTCATGTAGTTAGAGGGGCACCATGGGGTAGAGAGGGGATGGATGGAAATAGGTAAGTGAGGGAAAGAACACAAAGAAGAGGAGGCACCACAGGCCAGCCCTTGGACATCTAATTCTGTGGCAGGGGGAGGGAAGGGATGAAGGAGGCATAGGAAACTGGCGTAGTTCTGTGACCTTCTTTGTCACAGGCCCCAGCCCAGTTGTGTCTGTGTGTTCTCAGAACTCTCCCCTGCCTGTTAGCACAGAAGTGATGATGGAGAATGAGGAAACAGGGCCATCAGATTAACACAGAATCCTAGAAGAGAAAGTTGAGTAGGGTCCACGTGACTTCATAGCTTATTATCTAAAACATTTTCATACCAAAAGGGGTTTCTAACTTTTTTTTTCCCGATGAGAGAATTCACTTTTTTGGGATGTTTGTTGCTTAGGGAATTCACTGAGAAGGAATATCTCACTGTTCCACTTCATCCTGGTCTTTGGAACTGTTTCTTGCTCAGAGACTTTCCTCACTGGCTCTGTCTACAACAGTAGCATTCCTCCCTGAATCCACCCCTGCCAACACCCAGTGTTCATCCCCTTAGCCTGCTTTATTTTTTCTTCTTAGCATTTATCAGTTCCTGATACTTCACTATGTATTGATTGGTTTGTTTGTTTTATGTGTCTCCCCACTAGAATGTAAGCTCCTTGCAGGCAGGAGTTTGCCTGCTTTGCCCAGCACTGAATGCCCAGAGCCTAGAGCAGAGCCTGGCATATAAGAGACCCTCTGCTGAATGGGTGAATGCATTTTCAATATTTTTCTTTTTTTTCTTTTCAGATTGCCCTACGCTTGCTCCATGCTTCAGGCAGATCAGAGAACTTTCCATTTCTGGATGAGCTAGCATTTCGTCATCTTTACTGAGGCTGCCACTCTATGGGCAATGTATCTCTCTCAGTGTCCCCTGTGTAAACGTACTCGTCACAAGGAAATTGCCACCTCCAGGAAGTCACCTTGGCAGTGACACATGGTTTCTTTCCAGTCCCTGACCATAGGCACTTGTCTAATCAGTTGTATTGGCCCTTACCTTATGCTAACAGGTTTGTGCTTCATATCCTTCCTTAAATTATTAACTCCTAAGGGCTCGGGGCCAAACACTACACGGCCACCTCTTTCCAGCGCCTCTCAGAGTGGTGTGCACCTCGGAGGTCCTCAACAAACAGGTGAGAATGAATGAGTTAAAGTGAATTTTCCAAAGAGTTAAAATTGACTTATTTGTCAAAATATTCAAAGAATTTTACTAATTTTTAGTAGAAATCTTTCTCAAATGTATTAAAAATATTTCCATCTCCTTAGGGTGTTCTCAATAGATTTAAGTCTTAGTGACGCAAGTTTTTTGTTACAAACTGGACCTAGAATCAAAAGAATTGGACTTAAAGTCACCATCTTAAAATAGTCACTTCCTCATTTCCAAATTAGAGGCAATACTTTCCTTAATTATTACCAAGGATTTTTGTCAATGTCAAAATGAATTTGAGATAATATGTGGAAAACTGTTTATAAATGATTAATAGACTCTAAAGTTGTTGCTATGCATCAGTTACTTTTACAATAATAATCATGATTATGCTAGGTTGTAATAAAGTGTTGACCTTGAGGCAAATGAGGTGTAATAACTGCATGTTGCTACATCTTTTTGAACTCTTGTGGGTGCTGTACAAAGTTTCTTCCAGTTCCTCCATTATTATCAAATGTTTCTTTCCTTTCTGTCGTGTATCTTCAACCTCCACCCTAGACCTGTTTCAAGATTGTTCCTTCTAAGTGCTGCAAACTGAATAATTAGCAAATGAAGCTAGTTGCACATTATTTCAGGCACACAGATGCCTTAAAAATTACTTCCTAATGCTGCCTGTGTTGCAGGTGGCGAGATTTCAAGATAAACAAAATGATCAATGGCCTTGTAACAAATGAAACATTACTGAATCTCCTTCTCCCTTTTTGCTGTTGAGTTTCCTCCTCTCAACATAAGCCCAGCCTGGCCCTTGTCGGTTCTATGGGATCACCCTGAATGCCCAGCCAACTTAAGGTTTTAAAACCACTTCCTTTTCTCTGCCTTCCGCTTCTTTTCAAAAGGATCTCTAAAAATCTGTTAAAAATACTTCCCAGAGTTATTGCTAAGTCTCTGTACATTTTCAAGCAAAACAGAGTCTATAACATAGTTTTAATATTTTTAATTTTAAAAAAAGGAAGTTTCTGATAGTACAAAGACCCAGGGCCTATGCAAAATACGAGGACAAGGAGAGGTAGAATTTACCTAAAAAATGCATTCTGTAGCTTCTTTTAAACTCGTTCAGTTTCAGTAGAAAAGTAAAAAGCATAATGTCAGAAGTTTAAGTCGGTAAGTGACAGGAAGATAGTTTTTCAAAAATTGATATCTTTAGCATGCCTTCCACAACATTTACTAAAAACGAAAACAGAAGAATGCAACAATAAAAGTCTTACATTGTTAAAGTAGAACAGAATATTAAGCAAAATCTGGCATTAGACAACGGAAATTGTACCACATTTTAAATTTTTGTTGAATAGCCAAATGGAAAGTTCTGGTGCTTCTGTCATTTTCCAGTTAAAGATTACCTAAAGAACTGGTGACATTTTCAAACAGGAAAAATGGTTGCAAAATAAACCAGAATGATTCTGAGCTTGTTAAATACTTTATTTTGAAAGAAAATTTTTATGCTTTCAAGTGACAAAAGCAATTAAACCAAATCAGTGTTGCTTGGCTTCCCAATACTTAAAGATTGAGCTTAAAAGTCTTATAAGAACTTCCACTCTGGCCAAGATAGAGTAAGGACTAGAATTTATCCTCTCACTTGAAACAACAAAAAAAGTGGACAAAAGACAGTTTGCAAGACAATGGTCATCAGGCACCTGAAGGCAGCATTCCCCAAAGAGAAGGAAATGAATGAGGCCAGCTTACCAGTAACCTTGAGAGAGATCCTGCAGCCGTCCAGGGAGCGGGAACTGAGGTACAGCCCAGAGGACCTGTTGAGTTGAGGAGATGCAGCTGAGTCTGAGTCTGGGTGAGCAAGGAAACTAGAATTCATAGGATGAATACCAGAGATGACAGAGCTGCAGGGAGAGAGGGAGAGAGAGAGAGAGAAAGAAAGGAAGGAAGGGAGAAAGGGAGGGAGGGAAGGGGAGAGAGACAGATCGCTGTGGAGATCTGCTGAATGTTCTCGTAAGTATTCAGCCCATCGCTGATAAGCACATGCATGTGCAGAAAATAGTGGAGCCGGAGGCTGACCGCTGGAAGGGGTTAGAGGTAACAGTGCCTTGTGCCCACACTGATGTGTGTGGAAGTGGAAGGAC